GATGATGATGATGATGATGATGATGATGATGATTGATGGTGATGAGGAAGAGGTGGAGGAGGAGGAGGAGGAGGAGGCGGTGGAGGAGGAGGAGGAGGAGGGAGGAGAAAGAGGAGGAGGAGGAGGAGGAGGAGGAGGAGGAGGAGGAGGAGGAGGAGGAGGAGGAGGAGGAGGAGGAGGAGGAGGAGGAGGAGGAGGAGGAGGAGGGGAGGAGGACTAAGATTGCGGAGATAATTTCTGACTGCTAATCGTACTGTTAGCCGTCAGGGCTTCGCTGCGTGCGGCTGGCCTACTCTCTCGGGGAATGGGGCATGCAAGAGCTGCGTCGTGAGGCCTGGGCGCCGTCTTGAGGCAGCGTCGGAACTCCGAACGGGGGCCACTAGGGTTCGGCTTCCCCTGTATAGGGTCACCCTTGGGGCCGCCTTGGGGCCCTCTTGGGCCGTCTTGGGAGTCTTTTGAGCCGTTTTGGGGCCCTCTTGAACCGTCTTGGTGCGCTCTTGAGAGCCTCTCGGGCCGTCTTCGGGCGGTCCTGGGGGTCCTCTTGAGCCGATTTGGAGCGTTGGACTCCCGAAAAGGTGAGCGTGCCAAAATCCATCAAAAACCTGAGGAACATCGCTTTTGTTGGCCTCTTGGGCCCCTCTTGGGGGTGCTCTTCGAGCACTCTCGGGGGCCTCTTGGGAGCCTCTTGGGTAGTCTTGGGACCATCTTGAGCGCCTTGGAGCAGTCTTGGGCTGTCTTGGAGGCCTCTTGTACCGTCCAGGGGGCCTTAATAAAAATGATGATCGCCTCGGAAGAGCGAGTCCTGCGTACTTCACGAGGACTTACGATTTCGGGGACGCGAAAATCGCGTGAGTTACCAGGGATCGTGGCTTCGGGGACGCAAGGATTGGGGTGAGGAAGCGTGCGCCTGTTGTGCCCGCAAGGGGTCCTAAAGGGGCCAATCGAGTTGTTGTGATACCCGCCGGTGAGAAGCACAGAATCGTCTCCCAGGAAACCGGTGCGACGCTGTAGTGAAGTACGACATTCCGACCAGCTACGACATGTACTAGCACCCTGTGGAGAAGCGCCCTATCAGCAGACGCGCAGCCATGTTCGCAACTATTGCGGATGTGACGGTGCTGATGGAGGTGCAGGAGAAGCAGGCAGTGCAGCTGAAAGCATCGGGTGCCGAGGCGCAGCTTTCGCTGCCCAGCCTGTGCTCCAACGTGACAAACAGCGAACAGGGCAAGTAGAGGCACACGGTAGAGCAGTAACTGATGCCGCTATGCGCCCCATCGTTTCCAATCCCTGTTTCATGTCCCCCTCGAGCTCTTTACTGCCCCTTTTTTCAGCGTCTGGCATGCTACTCGCAGCAAGCGTTGCTGTCATGCTGGAAGTCGCTTGCTCGGGGTAAGACGTAGAGCTGGGGATGGATGGGAAAGCTTGCTCCCTCCCTCCGAGCCAGCGAGTCCCTGCCAATGCCACTGGTGAGAGGGACGCTGGAGTTCGGTGCAAAACGGCACGGCGAGCTGGCCGTGGCTGGATCTTAAGGGGGTGCCCAAAGGAGGTTCTGGTTTTGGAGGATCATGGTTTGAGGCTGACTTTGCTGGCTCAAGCGGGAGCCTGCTGGCTGGCTCAAGCGGGAGCCTGCACAGCAGCCGGCAGAGCGCGCCGTTGCGCTGGCATGGAGACCGTAACCGCGAGCGACGGAGATGCCTGGAGCACGGCACATCGGCGGCACCCCCTCGTCGCAAGGGCCACCCACAGCACCAGGGTCACCCGCCGCGCCAGATGCTGGCCGCGGGCAGGCACGGTCGGAAGGGCAACCCTCTGGGAACCCGAACGCTGGCACGAGGACGAGCACGAGGCGAAGGGGCATCAGGCCAATGCACCCGCCTCACTTCCAGGCGCTGCTGGCTGCGACCGCGGGCGCCGTCGCTATCTGGCTGCTGGACTTCTCCATGACGGTCCTGCCGGTTCTGGACAGGATCGACGGGCAGAGCAGGCAGGGCCGGTGTGCCGAGAACGACAAGCAGCTGGACCGCAACTGCCGGATGATCGTCGGGTTCTTCTGCATCTTCCTCGGTGTCCGCGTTCTTTTGCGCAGCGAGCACTGTTGTGGGCACATTAGGGAGCAGGCGGAGTCGGGGCTCATGGGGCCGCTCCGCCTCTACGTTTTCCAGCTGGCGGTCCACGGCCTGCTTTACATCTTCTGCGTGACCTCGGCGCTGTTCGTGGCGCAGCTCATGTAAACGAGCCAGTGCGAGGCATACAATCCCCAGCTGTACAGAGTCTGCAGGAGGTTCTCCTTCCTCAGCTGCATCGTGGGCAACTTCAGCGTGCCTCTCGTGTTCTGGAGGGCCCAGCTGCTGCGGCAGGCGAGGCAGCGGCGGTCGCCCTGGCGCGGCAAGCGGAGGGCGGCACCAGGCTACATTGAGCAGATCGCCGCGGTGCCCTACGATGCCGCCCTCTTCGGAGACGTGGACGGCAGGCGATATGCCGGGGAGTGCCCGATCTGCCTCGGCGCGTGGGAGGCGGGCGACGACATCAGAGTGCCGCCCTGCGGCCACGCGTTCCACAAGGTGCTATTGCAGCCCAGCTTCGTCGGCAAGGAAGCCAGCGGCATCCACCACACCACCTTCCAGTCCATCATGAAGTGCGACGTCGACATCCGCAAGGACCTCTACGCCAACATGGTGCTGTCCGGCGGCACCACCAGGTTCCCCGGGATCGGGGAGCGAATGATCAAGGAGCTGTCCGCCCTGGCGCCATCGACGATGAAGATCAAGGTCGTGGCCGCGCCCGTGCGCAAGCATTCGTGTGGATCGGCGGGTCCATCTTTCCAGCAGATGTGAATTTCGAAGGGCGAGTACGGCGAGCCTGGCCCCACCATCGTTCACAGGAAGTGCTTCTGAAGGGCTCCTTCCTTCCCCTCCCGCTCCCCCTCCTCCCTCCTCCTCCTCCTCCTCCTCCTCCTCCTCCTCCTCCTCCTCCTCCTCCTCCTCCTGTGTCGAGTTTTTTTGGCGTCTTCTGCTGAAGCCTGGAATTCAGTGGTGCGTGCTTCTCGATGTCGCAGTCTGCAGCCTGCCCTGCATTCGTGTTCGCGCACCCCTTCTCTCTTCGGCCTTGGGTCAGCAGGCGCTTCAGGGTCTGAGGCCTTGCCGCCGTGCCCCCCTCTGGCCTCCGATGGTCCGCCAGGGACTGGGCTCTGCGATTGCATGACCCTGCTGTGCCCCCCTCTGGCCTCCGCTGGTCCGCCAGGGCTTGGGCGCTGCAGGCGTGGGCCTGCCTCTGCGATGAAGCATTGCGCAGGCGGCCTTGTTTTGTTGCCCTCTGCCGGGACCCCTCTGGTCTCCCATGGTCCGCCAGAGTTTGGGCTCCGCAGGTATGGGGCACACTTGTATCCTTCCTAACTTATTCCATTGCTGGCCTCGACTTAGTCTCGATGAACAGTCCCTCGGCGCTTTGTTGTTGGACGGCGCTTGTGTCCAGCAGGCAGGCTCCAAGGAGGGCTGTTGTACTGCGTTCCCGTATCTTCTCCTCCTCGCCTCCTTCCTTACGAAGAAGCTTGAGCAACTTTAGCAGGCAGCGCACTTCAGCGGAACTTTTGATTAGATGACTGGCACCACTGTGTGCATTAGACGCTCGGCCATCGCCAGGTGTTTGGTGGGCTTTACGCCCCCGGGTCGCGTTTAAGAGGCCTCGCGTTGTTGTGCTTTCGTTGCCAAGGAGGAAACATGCTGACTTTCGGGATGGGCGCTCCCCCCTTCTACTACTCCGTGCCGCGCCCGCGCAGCGCAGGAGCGCGGGGGCTGGGTTGGGCTCTCTCTCTCTCTCTTTCTCCCTCTCTCTGTTTCCATCCTCCTCTCTGCGGGTTCTCCTTGAGCGCGCGCGCGCCCATGTTTAGCCTGCGGGTTTCACTTCGGTTGGCTTGTTCGGAATGTCTTGTCTGTCCGATGTGCGTGCGTGCGTGTGCGTGGACGACGACGGGCGACGATGTCGACGTCGAACGCGACCACGAGCGCGGCTTCCTCGGGGCGGACGCTGGTTCTGCCGCGGCGAGCGCTCGCGCGAGCGCGCGGGCTATCTGAGGGAAGGCCCGCTCCGATCCTGGTCAGGCCCATCCTGGGCCCTTGGCCTAGGAGGGGCCTGGCCATGTCCTGCGCGAAAGAGCAGACAAAAGGGCGTAAACAGAAGTCTCGGGAGGTCTGCGTGGATTTCTTGGATTCTCGCTATGACCTTTACTGGCCAGCCCTTACTGGCCGCCCCCGGCGCGTTCCGCGCTGGGGAAAGGGCGAGGGGGGCGGGTCCAGCGCCGCCGCAAAAAATCCGCCCCGACCTTCTGTCACGGTACGTTTATGCTGTTTTGCGCCATTTTATCCTGGGCCCTGGGACCGTCCGATAAATGTTCGGGGCCAGTTCAGGGGTGAACCCCAGGGTCCAGGACACCCATTGCCTCATGGCAAGCCTGGGCAGGATTTTTTTTTTTTTTTTTTTTTTTTTTTTTTCTCCCCCGGGGGAGGTGCATGCGGACGAGCATGGCGGGGGCAGCCCGTGAATGAACGTAAATTAGCGCCCCCTGCCTTCTACCGCTTCGTGATCATGGCTGTCCTTCTGAAGGGCTCGGTTGCTCTGTTCTGGGCGGGCGAGGCGGGCGTAGGACAGGCGCAGCGCATAGGCCCCTCTGCCCTTGTTTGAATGGAAGTTCGTTGCGCCCCCAGTGGAGAGAGGACACTTGCCACGATGCCACGACGATAACGATCGCCGCCGTGCTTCAGCGACCATCGGCAATGCACAAACGACATCGCCATTGCCCTCGCCCAACCAAGCTGCTCTTCCAGCGGATCGGCACCCTGAGATCCGACGTTGTGGAAAAGACGCAGGATCGCAGAGAATCGCAACGGGAGCCCTAGAGCCCACGTTCATGCGCATTTGTCGAGCCAGGTCCCGAAGCGGCACCAAATCGCTCGGTGTGAAAAGCTCCTGACGCCGAGATCTCAGGGGAGGCCCCCCCCATGCAGCCCGCGCTCGCCTTGCCCGAGTCCAGGCCAGGGTGCCCCTTCGGCCCTGCCGGGAGGCTCGCCCCTCGCCCTCTGCTCTGGGGCACATGTCCTCGCTGGAGGAGCGCGCCGCAGAGCACGACGCTCGCACCCACCGGCCGATTGAGAGCCCAGGGCCAGGGGCAATGTCAGGGGGGCACTGGCTCAGGGGAGCTTGGGGCCGGATGTGTTTGAACGTTTTCGATACCCGGGGTTGCTTCCATCAGCTGCGCCTCGTTGAGGCCGTTCGGGGGGTGCCGGAATCGTCCCGAAAGGCCGCTGGAGGCCCGAGCTATGACCCGAAAACTGGACGACGAGGATCACCTGGGGGGATCGGCTGAGGGGGGAATGTGGCGTTCCTCGATCGCCCGCTCAGCGCCGGCAGGGGCCCGATAGCCCGCCCCGACCAGGATCGGTCGGCTTTGCTATCGGGGGCCGATCGCCGATCGATAGGCGATGTATCGCGGATTCAAGCTTGATGTTTACCCCTCAGCTGGTGCCTCCCTGTCGTTACCCCTCAGTCCAAGGGAGCTGGGCAGGCGCCAGTGCCAGGGAGGAGAAACTGCGCCCCGTCCCCAGACACTCGAAGGAATGGCTCTGTTCAAGATCCCAGCGTGCTGTTCCTTCCCTTGTGGAAGGGAAGCCGAGCATCAATGTGACACGCTGCCGTTGAGAACCCGTCATTGTGTTACTCCTTCGTCTTCTGAATACCAGGTGTTTCTTCAACAGTAGCGCGCTGATGGACTGCCCACGGCGGCGTGTCATTGACACTGTTTTCGTTCCCCCATTCCCCTCGGCCCCCAGGGGCCCTTTTCGGCACCACCAAGCATGGATCGGGGATGAACGCTGCTCCCTGTCAGGGGCAACCTTAGGGGAGGACTGTCTCAGGGGGGATGCATCGACCCCCAATCGCCCACTCATCGCCGATAGCAGCCCGATAATCCACCCCGCCCAGGAGCGTGCGGCTTCGCTCTCGGGGGCCTATTGCCGATCTATCGGCGATGTATCGCCGATTCCAGGCCGATGCTTCCCACCTGGGCCGGTCTCCCCCTGATGTTCTCCCTCAGAAGGGGTTGGGATCTCACGGCAGAACGCACAAAATCAGGCCCTCGGATGGCCAGGTCTGTCGTTAACTTCCTTCGGCTTCCCTCTCTCTCTCTCTCTCCTGTGGAGCCCGCGTCCCCCCCCCACCTGAGCGACGGAAGCAAGGGGTCGCCTGCGCGGACATTCGCGTGTAGGTTGCCCGCGAAGGGTCGCGCGTGAGCGCCCTCGTCTCCACTGGCGTGCCGCGCTGGTGGCCCGCGTAAGTCGCGGTAAGGTCGCTATGTCATCGTGTGAAGGACCCGTTTCTTTTCGTCGTTCACCTGGCGCTGGCCTCTTCTCCACGCGGTGCGCCGCGCTGGCGGCCCGCGTAAGCCACCGCGTAAGGTCGCTATCTTTTCGTGCGTCAAACCCACTTTTTTTTGTCGCCCACCTTCCGCCCAGCCCTCCTCCCGGGGCCAGCCCCGGGCCTCTCAATTCGGTCTGCCCGTCGGGAGCCTGGGCTGCTCAGCGAGGAGGAGAACGCGGCCTTCGCGAGGGGCGAGAAGGACTTGGAGGGCACCAGCCGTTTTCAGAGGAGAGAAAGGTACCGATACCGCTACCACTCCATCGTTTTTGCCCTGGAGGGCCTATTGGGAGGTCCTTGTCGCCACGCCTGGATTCGCCTCGAACTCCTGGTGAGAACTCACCCCGGGAGAGGCGGGGAGAGCAGCGGTATCGTTACCTTTTTGATTGCTTTCCCCATATGCGCCTTCACCGACCCTGTCCAGGCCGATCTCGTGCACGGGATCGGTTTGTATGCCCTCCTGCCTTGGCGAGGAAATCGTATACGCCGATCCTGGTCCCAGGATGGGCCTGGCCAGGATCGGTGTAGGTGCATCAGTTGGCGCCCTCAGAGGACTGCGGCAATCTGGCGTTCAAGGCGCTGGATTGGGACACGGCCATCGGCCGGTACTGCCAGGGCCTGAAGCACGCGCTGCCACGGGGGGCGCAGCCGGCCAGCCCAGAGCTCTCCGCCCTGGGCGCTGCGCTGCTCACCAACTGCGCGGCGGCGAGGCTGAGGAGCGTCGGGTCAAGGTTTTTCTGGGGGGGCGTCTGGGGCCGTCTGGGGGATCGGCTCAGGGGGGAGCGTATCGACCCCCAATCGCGCATTCATCGCCGATAGGGCCCCGATAGCCCGCCCCGCCCAGGAGCGTGCGGTTTCGTCGTCGAGGGTCTGTCGCCGATCTTGCGGCGATGTATGTCCAATTCCAGGTCGACATTTCTTCTCCTGAGTCAGTCTCCTCCCTCTGTACACGCGGAGAAGGAAAACGCATAAGTATCAATTTCCCGAGATCGGGTCTGATGTCTTGGGTCGGCATTGAAACCCCTTCCCTGGTGCTCCTCCGGCGCCGCTTTCAGCGCGCTCCGCGCGCCAGTAGGGGGGGGCGCGATACAGCGCCGACCCAGGAAATTCGCGCGGGCCGCCAGACTTTTAGATTTATGCAGCGGGGCTTGACGAGGATCTTTTGGGGGCCGTCGGTCCGTCTTTGTGCGTCTTCGTGCTGGCTGCAGGGGTCTCGTGGCGACCCGTGGCCGTGTGGTGGAGGCCTTGGGCCGTGGGGTGGTCCTGAGGGTGTTGGTCGGTGCTGGAGCTGTTTTGGGTCCGTCTTCGGACGTCTCTGGGGCCGTGCAGGGGCTGATCTTTAGGCGACGCAGGGGGGCCTGGGAGGGTTGGACTCTGACCATGCGTACACGGTCATTGGGCAGATCCTGACAGGCAGAGGAATCATGATTTCGTCGATGGTGCAGGCGAGCGTCGAACACCTTCGAAACAGAAGCGGTGCCTAGCAAAGACCGTCCAAGGGGTACGAGCGTGGCCATTGGAGCGCTATGAGGGTCGGGGCTCCCAAGGAAGGGCGGCGAGGCCGAGCTGGCGCTGGCGGCCAGCGACTGCACGCGTGCGCTGGAGCTGGACGGGGGCAGCGTCAAGGCCAGCGGGGGAAAACCGAAGCCGACGAGGCCAGCAAGAGCTGCAAGGCTGCAGCAGGCCGTTCTGGGGCGGCGAGAACCAGTTTTGAGGTTCGAGGTTCGAGGTTTTCGGGCGTTTCCGTCGGATCTCGGCGGTTTTCCAGCTTCGGGAGGTTCTTCACCAGCTGCGCCTCGCCGAGAGCGTTCAGGGATGTCCAGATATTCCCGAATGGCTGCTGGAGGCCTAAGTTATAGCTCGGACACCTTTCGAGTGGTGACAAAATGATTACAGAAGGTTTTTGGCTGTTCTCGGCCACCGGGGGCAATCATTGGGCCCCGGGAACGTCGAAAACGACTCGGGACGAAAAGCTGGTCCCGGGGAGGGGTCGAGACGTCTGGGGGTCCACATCATGAAAACATTATAACGTCGGGGCTTTGGGGACATGACTGGGGAGGTGTGGGGGGGAGTCGCAGTGGCACCAGAGTCGCATCCCTGCCTCTGAACAGCGGCTTCGGGCCCCCGATGCGTGCTCAGCGCGGGCTGGAAGCCCGCTGCTTCTCCCGCCGCCCCTGAATCATTGGATCAGCCGTGGGGGCGAAGGCAATCGCGCTTCGCGCGTCGCGGCATGAGCCATGAGTGTGCCCTCTCGATGTGCGGCGGCGAAAAGCGCGCGAAGATGAACGCGTCGCGCATTGCGGAGCGCGACGTGTGAAATTCGGTGGCCCAGGCATCGCCAGTCGCTATTTGCAATGCGCTGCGCTGGCACTGCGCTCGCACTGCGCGGCTGGATCACTCGACGGGCCCTCTTTTGGATTTAGCCTGCCCGTCTGGGCGACCCCACTGTTCCTCGTCCTCCTTGAGCACTTGCTGTTTTTTCCTTCGGGGTTTCCCTCGGCAGGGAAGGCGGACGTGTCTGCTTTCGGAGGCAGGAGGAGGGGGACGGAAAGTAGAAGGATGCAGACAGAGGATGATTTCGACCGACGACGAAGAGGATGATGGTTATAGTGGTCCAGTGGTGGTGGGGTGGTGGTGACGGGAAATCGCACGAATGAAGACGAGGATGATGATGGAGGAGATATATGAACAGGACTAGAGCTAGAGGGAACGTTGATGGGGATGAGGACGAGGAGGACGACGAGGAGGAGGAGGAGGAGGAGGAGGAGGAGGAGGAGGAGGGAGGAGGAGGGGAAAGTGGACGATGAAACGCAGGGTGGAGTAAGCAGGTGCTCGTCAGAGTGGCGAGAGCTTCGTTGCCCCCCCCAGCCCCCGAAGGCGCTCTTCCGCCGAGCGCAGGCGCCGCGGGCCTCCGAAGCGGAAGCAGGTGTTCGGTATGTCGGAAGTGCTTGCGGTGCCCCCCCCCCAAAGAGAAGCTGGTTTGTTCTCCTTCCTCCATCCCTGGTCCCTGGTCCTTTCTTCCTGCCTGCTGGTTTCTTCCGCTTCCTGGTCCTCTCCTTCCTCCTCCTTTCCTGCTTCCTGGCTCTTTCCTTCTGGTCTCCTCCCTCACCTCCAAGGTCTCGTAGCTCAAGAGCAGCCTGCCAACGCCCCTCCCGTAACCACGTCGTGGACCTCCCTTTCCCTCCGCTTCCTCTTCCCTTCCCTTCCCTTCTCTGCCTCCTGCCCCCTTCCTCCATGCTTTTTCTTTCTAACGAATAACTCTTCCCTGTCGCACCCAGATGCCAGTCGGAAGGGCGGGCTGGGCGTTTCGCTGGAGGCTTCCTCACCGTGAATGATCCAGAAGCTAACGAATTGGCAAGAGTTTCACGAATTGAGGGCGGGTGGTCTTCTTCAAAATGTGGCTCTCGCTCTCGCGCCGCGCACAGCATGGAAATGCAGGCGTCTCAAGGATTCTCACGGTTAGCGTATTAGCAGTGGTGTTCTGGAACGTTTTGGGTTTTCAGGGAGCAACAGTTATGTCGATTCGCGGTGTTGAAGTCCCAGTGACTGTGCGTCAAGACGCAACAGTGAGGTTGATTCGTGACGTTGAAGTCCCGAGTGGTGTCTTGCCAAGCTTCAGGATCTTCAAACGGTTGTCTCCCGACGGGCACTTCCTTCAGTGGAAGGAAACCTGTGTATGGGGCCCATGAAGAGGGAACTTCGAGGGAGGATTGATTCCAACATCGTTGATGAGTCTTGCGTTTGCCTTGGTCCCCTCCTCCTCCTCCTCCTTCTCCCCCCTCCCCCTTCCCCTCCCGTCGTCGTCCGTCGTCGTCCTCCTCCTCCTCATCGCCCCCGCCACCGCGGGGGAGGGGGAGTAGGAGGACGAGGGAAAAGGAAAAGGCATATGACGCTCTGGACGCGAGGACCGCGAGGTTGCCTCCTCTTTCATTCCTCTTCTTGGTAGATAACTCCTGGCTGTCGCTCCCCGAAACCGGTCGGTAGGGCGGGCCGAGCGTTCGGCTTGAGATTTCTAACCATCTATGCCCCTGAAGCTTAAAACTTTGCAGCAGTTTCACACATGTGGGGTTTCAAGCTGTGGCTCTCGCTTTGACGCCGCACGCATTCGTTTTCAAACATTGCAGGAGTTTCGCAGATTGAGGGCGGTTGGTTCTCAAAATGTGGCTCTCGCCCTAGCGCTGCGCACATTCGTTTAACACAATTGCAACAGTTTCGCTGTTTGAGGGCGTTCCCTTTTCAAAATGTGGCTCTCGCCTTAGCGCCGCGCACATTCGTCTTAACAGTTTGCACTCGTTTCGCGACAAGAGGGCCGCTCCTTTTCAAACTGTGGCTCCTGCCTTCATGCCGCGTACATATCCGTTGTGCAAAACTGCAAGAGTTTCGAGGATGGAGGGCGGATGGTGTTCAAAATGCGGCTCTCGCCTCTGCGTCGCGCGCATTTGTTTAATCAAAAGTTGCAAGGGTTTCGCAGATGGAGGGCGGTTCCTCAAAATGTGGCTCTCGCCTTAGCGCCGCGTGCATTCGTTTTGACATTTTCTCAGCAGTTTCACGGATTCTCATGGTTCACGATGCAGAAATGGTGTTGTTGGTACGGTGCAGGGTTGTCTTGGCGCAACAGTTATATTGATTCGCGGTGTTGCAGTCCCAGGACCTGTGTTCTGGCACATTATGCTTGTCCAGACGCAACACTAGCGTCGATTCGTGGCGTTGAAGTCCCAGGACTGGTCTTCTGGCACCGTTCAGGATTTTCAAACAGTTGTCTTCCAACGGGGCGCTTTCCTCAGTGAAAATGAATCCTTGTAGAGGCCTGCGAGGAGGGAGCTTGGAGGGAGGGTTTATTCCAACATCGTTTGTGAGTCTTCTGTTTGCACTGGTTTCCCTACCCCTCCTTCTCATCCTCATCCCCTCCCCCATGCCCCTCCCCCTCCCCCTCCCGTCCCACTCCAACTCCCGTCGTCGTCGTCGTCGTCGTCGTCGTCGTCGTCGTCCTCGTCGTCCTCGTCGTCCTCGTCGTCGTCGTCGCTCGCAGCTCGCTCGCCTGTGGGGCCAGCGCGCGCGGGCGTCGCGAGGGGCCGCCCGAAGGCGCACCTGGCGCTCGGCAGCCACGCGGCGGCCGAGGAGGACGCGAGGACTGGGGGCAAGGCTCCCTCTCTCATCCTTCCTCCATCCTCCTCCTTCTTCCTTACTTCCTCGCTCCTCCTTCCTCCTCCCTCCTCCTCCTCCTCCTTTCTCCTTTATCCTCCTCTTCCACCTCCTCCTTTCTCTTGCTCCTCCTTTCCCCTCCTCCTTTCTCTCTCCTCCTCCTTCCTCCTTGCCTCCTCCTCCTCCTCCTCCTCCTCCTCCTCCTCCTCCTCCCTCCTCCTCCTTCCTCTCCTCCTCCCCTCCTCCTCCTCCTCCTCCTCCTCCTCCTCCTCCTCCTCCTCCTCATCCTCCTTCCTCCTTTTTCGTCCCTCCTTCCTCCATCCTCCTCTTCCTCCCTTCTCCTCGTCCTTCCTCCTTCCGCCTTGCTCCTCATTTCTCCTGCGTTCTCCTCGCTCCTTCCTCGCTCCTCTCTCTCTCCTCCTTTCTCCCTCCTCCTGAGGCACAGGGGTTCCCGAGAGTTGTGTTCGTTTCCGGCCCCTTGGGGAGCCCTTCCCGGGCGTTGGCTGGGGGTGAAGAGCCTGGTCGCGGGGAGAGTAGCCAGTCTTGGGGAGATCCTCTATCCTCTTCCACCTTCTCTGCGACCCGCTTCGCTTACGAACTCTACCCCTGCAGGTGCAGTCGGCGCTCGATTATCGGAGACCCCCTATTGGGGTTCAGTTGGCTGCAGACGTCCATGAAATTCTGACCCCCAGCTGGTGTTGTAGAAATCTTAGTGGTACGATTCGCATGTGGGTGCCCGCTCTCCCTTCTCCAGGGCCATTCCGTATCACGACCATGGGTTATCCGAGTGCCAAAATTTTCGATTGTGAGAGGCGTGTGGTTCTCGTGCAGGAGACGTGACGGGCCTCCTACAGCAGTAATCGGTATTCAGTCCACAGGACTAGCTCTGCTGCTGCTCTTCCTTCGCTGCTGCTGCTCCTTTCCCTCCTCCTCCATCTTGGTGCTTACTTCTTCTCCTCATTCCCCAATCAGAGCTTCCTAGCGGATTAAAGGATTAGGTGAGAGGTGCGGCCGATTTCGGTGGCCGGGCCCGGGTGCCCGGGGGTGCCCGGGGGTGCCCGGGTGCCCGGGTGCCCGGTGTGCGGCCGATTTCGGTGGCTGGGCCCGGGTGCCCAGGTGCCCGGGTGCCCGGTGTGCCCAATAGCCCAATAGCATATAGCCCAATAGCCCAATAGCCCTATAGGCCTATAGCCCTATAGTTCTATAGCCCCATAGCCCTATAGCCCTATAGCCCAATAGCCCTATAGCCCTATAGCCCGATAGCCCCATAGCCTTATAGCCCTATAGCCCTATAGCTCCACAGCCTTATAGCCCTGTAGCCTTATAGTCCAATAGCCCAATAGCCCTATAGCCCTATAGCCCTATAGCCTCATAGCCTTATAGCTTTATAACCCTACAGCCCCATAGCCCCAACAACAATCTTATTGTTTTTTTTTTTCTCCGGTGTCACTGTTTCTTAGTTTATACTCCGACTTTGCAACCCAGCTTGCCGATAACAACCGTACCTGGATGCTTCCATCTTACTTGTAACAACAACAGCAATGCAACATTTACATCTTTGCTTTCAGCATGGACATCATTTATGCCGTCCACGTTGCACCATGTGTGGCAGGAATGGAACGGGGCGCACATCCCACGCGAAAGGCCGAGATGTCGCGCGCGCTCAATCGAGCTCCCGCCGGGGCGCGGCGCACATTTTTTGCACTCGCCTCGGCGCCGAGCAGATTTCGCCTGGAAGTGGCGCTCCCGCCTCGGCGTGGCGCATACTTCTCACTCGCCAGTTTAACGGGCCCCGCGCGATCGGGCGACATGTCGCCATCGCCCAAGCTCCGTGTGCACTTCGCTCGGGGGTGGTGCTCCCACGCCAGCGTGGCGCATGGTTCTTTGGCCGACCCACATGACATCGATAGCGGCAGCGAAGCCGCGCGAGAGCAGGCGAAATGCGACCTCGTCCAAGCGCCGCGCAGGTTGTGAGTGAAAGTGGTAGTGCTGTATCAGCGCGGCGCAATACTACGACTTCGTCTTCGCCGCGCCCATCGGGAGTTTTGTCGCTCCCTCCCCTGCGCGGCCCGCGTAGTTTTCCCGTCGCCAACTCGTCGGAAGCGGGGCAGCGCGCGAGCGCCTTCCGTTCGCTAGGTCTGAACGAGTTCCAATGCCAACGTCAGTCAGTACCAACGTTGATTTTTTTGCCGTGGGAGGGAGGGTGGGAATAGGCGGGGCCCTCTGACTCCCTCAATTCGGGACGTTCCATTCTACCCATCAAAAACAACGCAACATCGATCGACGCTTTTCCTTTCTGCATGGACGTTGTGTAGTCGACCTGGCAAAATGCTTGGCTGAGAGTTGAGCTCGCGTATAGGCACGCCGCACATTTGGTGCTCACAAATTTGTCGACAGCGAGGTCGCGCACGAGCGGACGAACATTTGGACTTCGCCTCGGCGCCGCGCAGACTTCGCTTGAGAGTGACGCTCGCGCTCCAGTGCGGTGTATATTTGCACTGGCTAAGTTGTTTGGGACGGGGCAGCGCGCGAGCGGGGTGCGGGGTAGTTATCGCCCTTGCGCAAGCTCGTCTGGATTTCGCTTGAAAGTGGCGTTCCCGCTCGGGCGCGGCGCATGTTCTGCTCGTCGGATCGAAACAAAACGGCACCGACACCGGGGCCGCGCGAGAGTTGGCGAAGTAGTGTTTTGTGCGTGAACGTGGCAGTGCTGTTTCGGCGCGGCTCACTCGCCGCGCTCGTCGCACAGTGGTGTTCTCGCCGCAGTGTCGCGCGCAGATTTTCTGAAGTTCCGGCCCGCGTTTTTTGGGTGGGGACGCATTCCAGTCCCACATCAAGTTGTGCCACCAGTGCTTCTGATGTCATGGGGTTGTGCCATCAGTGTTTCTTACGTTTATAGGATGGAGGGCGGGAATGGGCGTGGCACAAATATCGATACTCCAGTGTCTGTGTTGCCTAATATGGAGCCCCCTCCACCCTGGCCTTCCATTCCCCCCCTCCTCCCTCGTCCTGCCGCTTCCCCCCAATCCCCCGAGGATGGCCCTGGAGCTGGATCCTGGAAACGCGGAGCTCCAGCAATTGCAGGCAAGGGCTGCCGCCGAGGGCGGCCGCGCCAGGCGGCGGGAGAAGGCGATGTGCTCGAAGATCCCCTCCGCTTCGCGGGTGACACGGCCGGATAGGCCCCACATGCACGAGGCCCTCCGCAGTCCTCCAGGTGCCCACGCCGCACAGATTGCGCCACAGCTTTCACAGCATAGCCCATGCCTCGTAGCTTACGCCTGGCAGCTTGCACCACACTGCTTGCACCACATGGCATCGACCACATAGCTTCCACCACGTAGCTCGGACCACACGGCTTGCACCACAAAGCTTGCTGCATGTGAAGTCTGCTACCGTCTCGGCTCAGGTACTGGACAGTCCTATCTGACAAGACTAGCGCTGCTCGCCCGCGGCGCGTGGGAAAGGGGATCTCTCCCCTTTTCCTAATCGTTTTCTACCGACGGACATTTCACTCTTCGGTCGTTAACCTACATCCACAGGTTATCAGCTTATTCAATTTCGCTCTCCGTCGTGACACCCTGCGCCGTTTTCGAGCCTGGTTCTTCGACGGCGCGTGGGCGTCACGACACCGCGGAGAGGGCAATGGGACAGAACATGATACAGCAATCCATCCCCCCTCCCAAGAGAAAGCAGCGCCGACGTTCGACCTGAGGCGGAACTTGAAGCAGTCATGGTTTTCTTCCCGCCTCCCGCGCCGGCGCCCTGTTACACGGCAGCGTTCGGGCATAGCGCGCAGTCGACCAGATCGACTCTTGGCCGGTGGAAACACCCGCGGTAGGCTTCGAAACCACCGCTGTATTCGCTTCGCCTCCTCCACCAACCCTCGCCAGTGGTAACACCCGCGGTGGTGGCGAATGAAACGTCTTCTCAGAGCGCTTCCGCGCGACGCCGCTGGTGGGGCGCACGACGTTTCATGAGCCCCGCTACGGTTCCTGTGTCAGAAATGTGCGAGTCATAGAGGATTGCACTGGACGGAACTCACAGCGAAGAGCCCCCGAGCGGTATCGTCTCCAGTTTCAAAAAGGGGGACCGCAGCCGCAGCCGTTCCCAGGGGCGCTCACGGCAGAGCTCCTTGCGGCGCGACATCGCGCCGCGAGCGTCGCCCTCCGCCACTGATTTGGCAGAGCTTACACACCAGCTTGAAGCTTGCGCGACCCAAGACGGCAACCTTGAGGCAAGAACTCCATGACGCCCTTGCCGCCCTAGTCGACGCTCGGATCGCCGAGGATCGATCGATCCCCGCCCAGGTCCAGTATCAAATCGACCGTGTGGAGTCACGCCGACGGTCTGAGTCCACTTCGATCCAGACGCTGCGCGAGCACCTCCTCGCAGCGGAGGCCCAACTCGTGAACGTCAGGGACACGGGCACTTCTGCTGTCAGGACACTACGCGACGAGCTCCTGACAGTGTGGCAGGTTCCAGCTACTGACGTACACGGGCATGCGGATCATCGGCTCCGTGACGACCTCATTGCGCTTCGTGCTTCCGTTTACGTGGCCGCTGCCGACCTACATTCGCGATGTGCCACAACCGCGTCCGAGTTGCGCGGCAAGCCGCGTATTGCTGAGATGGCTATCGCTCGACGTCTTGATGCTTCGGAGGGACGTGTGCAAACGGCTGAGAACCGAGTTTCCGCAGTCGAGCAGCAGTTGCCTGATATGCAGGCTGTGCTGGTTGAGTTGCGTGTTGTGCGGGCCCAGGCTGATCAGGTGGGCGCCCCGACTTCGGTATGCGATTTCGCCTCGTTCGCTGCCGATGTGGCCGTGGCGCGGAAGGCGGCGGGCCGAGCGCAGTTGCGACTCGCCCAGGCCTCGCGCGAAAGGGGCGCTGAAAAGGCATGGGCCGAGGTTGCATTCGCCCGTTTGGAACAAGAGCGCGAAGCGCGCAACCGACGAATCCAGGACTTACAGCGTCGGCTGTGCCAGTGCTCCCAGCGAACCCACGACGCCAACGACGAGAGACATTTCCTACGACGGAGCGTGGAAAAGATGCTGGCCGACATCGCAACGACCGAAGCCACCGTGAAGGTTCACGCGGGCCACGGTCAGATCCACGCCCCAACGCCATCTCCGCAACCTACCGCCGACAGTGCATCGATCCTCGCCGATGGAGGCATCCGCGCTGGACAACCGCGACGCACGTCACGAGGCGCTGCCGCCGCAGCGGCCTCCGCTCACACGCGTCCCGTCTCTCCTGCGCGTGCTTCATCGCCGAGTCCGCCAGCTCCGTCGCAGAACCTTTCGCGGTTCTCTCTCGGTGGTACCGCCCCAATCGAGGATCCCAATGCTGTGCGTATTCCTCAACTGCCACGCAGTGCTCAGTTACGGGGGCGGCGACGGGTGGCCGGGGGAAATCTCGGAGGCGCCTCGGGGCGCCCTGCCGGGACATGCGCATTTCTCTGCGTCGCCAAACAAACTGGCGCTACACTCGAGGACTTACAAGGCAGTGGCGATGTCGAGAGTATTGATTGCAGGCTCGCCGCTGCACTTTCGGCTGTCCTCGACGCTGAGTTCCGTTGCCGGATGAAGAACCCCAAGGCCCGAGAGCGCGGGGCCAGCCGCGTGTTGGAGGGTGGGCAGATCTATTGGGCTATCTTGCAATCCTACGAGGCCACGGACGTCGACGACGCGATGCGCGATTTTGAACGTCTACAACTTCTTCGCATGCGGGGCGATGACCCCCAACGTGTCATTGTGGATTGGGGCTATTTTCGAATGCCGCGGCGCCGCGCGGCGCGAGAATATTCGAATCGCTGTTCCGAGCTCAGACTCGCGGGCGTCCATGGATGAAGCGAGACGTGCGCGACTACGACGCGATGAAGTCGAATGGCCCCAATCGCACCTGCGATTGGCTGCGGGAATGTGTCATGACCGACGTCGAGTTGCGCCGGCTCGAACGTGGCTGGCGCAACCTCGAGAGCGAGGCTACTCGTCGCGAACTAGCCTTGGAGGGTGATGAGGGGGGGTCTGCAACGGGGGGTCTTCAATGGGGGCTGAATGGCCCATGTGTGCTCAATGTATCGCTCTTGTATGTGATCGGGTATGATTGGCGTCCAATGTTGGCGGTCATGGGGGGCCCAGTCGTTCGTGCCCACGCGTTGCCCGCGCGGGCAAAGGCGCCGTCCATCCGTGGTTTCTCATGCGTGCGGGCGTTATTGCATATTGCGCGTGGGGCGGCGAAGTGGCGTGCAAGTGTGTCTTGATTGTGCGATTGATGATCGTGTGTGGTCCCCTGCGATGACTTGTCGACCCCCGGGGCAGATTTGGACTGGTTTCGCGATCCCCCCAACGCGTGAATTCACATTCTCCTTTTGTCCAACATGTGAATTCACGTTTTCCTTTCGCCCAACATGTGAATTCACATTTTGGCCCCTTCGTGAATAGAACCTCGTGAGTCGACTACGCCTCGCTCTTCCACGGCCACCCCTTGGCGGGTGTCTCCTGGGGGCGACGCTGCCGTGCGTGTCTGAAATCAGTGGGATTTCGACTTATCCCTAGATGGGAATGCGTCTGGGAGCACGACAAGTTTAATGTCGTCGTATCCGTCTGCGTCGATGACTTCAAGATGGCGTGCCCCCAAACGAACCTGACATCAGGATGGGACTTGATCCGTCGCAGCGGTATTGAGATCGACCCACCTACTCCATGCGATCACCACTTGGGCTGCGGTCAGGGCACGTGGATTGCACCATAAAGCGCCTTCGACAAAGAGTGGCCACGACCCGACCCATGCTGCCAGAGCACGACATCAAACGCAATGCATTTGCAACAGACGTTCGTGGCATTCGACACCGCGTGTTTGGCTTCTCTGACCAGTGCATTACTCGTTGTTTGGAGTGCGTGTCTAAGCTGCCTGGCATGCCCGGCTTGAGGAGAAAGAGGTCGCCCTCCCCTAGGCTGCCGTCGCTCTCGCCCAGATCTTCAGCGTCGCTTGAAAAATCCACGTCCAGATCTTGCGCGTCGGTTGAAAAACCCACGAACGACGCTGCCCGCATCGCATGCAACGATCTCCCACGCGCCGACGCCCCGGGCATCGAGGACGCGTCCTTCGCTGAGCGGGACTACGCTGATGAAGGAGTCCTCGGCCATGGCGCGGCAAGTGTGCTGATGGAGATATTGTGCCTAGCGCGCTGCTGCAGGTTCGGTCCCATGCGCCCAGTCCGCATGTTGGCGCGGGACATTACCAAGTGGAACTACGCATGTGAGAACCGTTTACACCGACGGACTTGTTATTTGAAGTCTACGCGCACACCTTGCTTCCATGGATAGATAGGTGACAGATCATATAACATTTTAATCGTGCACTTCGCTGGCGCCTCCTTCGCGGACTGCGTCAACGGCTCGAAGCCGACCGCCGGCGCCTCTGTCGCGCTGGTGGGTCCCGACGCACTCTCAGGCATTCGCCGCGTCTTCCACGCATTGACTGACGCCCGCAAGTACGAGATGAAGATCTCGTCATGGGCGACTACGCATGGAGCATTCGGTGGTCCTGAGTCCTTGCCAGTACTGGAGACAAAGCCCGCGGCTGACGATGAGCTTCGCCATGCAAGGGGGCCGCGCAACGCTGACCCGAGGTGGGGCCCAGAGGCGCCCAACCTCCCGCGTCCCAGCGACGTGCCTGAGGACGAAGGCGCTGGCAGCACGCAGTGCAGCGACATATTCAGGGATGACCCGACAGCAGCTCCACCACGTTGGTCGGCTTTTGCATCTGGCCGTTATCTCGAGTCGATTTTCAGCGATCACAGATGGGCCCCCGCCCTGCAGGAGGACATTGGGCTCTCTGTCATTCGCGCTCTCGAGCCCGGCGGACGCGCCTGCAAATCGAGAATTTTATACAGCCACTCCAGCTGCGTCATGCAGAGCAAGGGCAAGAGAAAGAGCAACGTGATGAAAGCGCCCAGTTAAGGCACCGACGACCTGAACGGCGCGCGATTGAGACAGCAGGTAGCATATGTATCCAATCCTGCGTTCGTTTCTCTCGTTTGCCCTTGGATGCGTGAGTTCCAGTGCCAGCGAGGCGTGACGCTCGAGGATTTCAGGATTTGGATGTGTGATAACATCATGTTGCGGGCCATGCAGGAGACCAGCTACAAGAACTCTCGGCTGACGCA